CCATATCCATATAATATACACCAGGCGCCTGAGCTTTAGGCCATATGTAGTTTCATCATCGTATCTTATTTTAAATAAATAAAATCATTTGTTATAATTGAAGTCAGCATGTTAGTTTTTGTATTATTATTATTATAATTATTATTATTATTATTATTATTATTATTTTAAAATATATTTGTTGGGGCTTTAGGACAGCTGAGGTTAGACAGGAAAGGGGGAGAGAGGGGGCCGCTGCAGCAAGGAACAGGCAGCCTTGGTACTTGGGGCACCAGCTCTACCAGGTGAGCTGTCAGGACGTCCCGTTTTTGAATTATTACCTTACTTTGTGTTTGTCAGGTGCTGATCCATTTGGGTTTCCGACCCTCCACCGGCCCTGGAATGAAGGAACTCCTATGGAATCAGCCAAGATGCGACTCCGGGCTGCTTTTGAGTTTTTCACCAAACTTGGCGTGAGGGAATTCACCTCCATTTTACAATGAAAGTCACAGCTGATTTTGATGAAGTTATACTGTGTGTTTCCTTTTTAACCACTGCTTGTTTTCACAGGTGAAATATTACACATTTCATGACAGGTAACTGGCCATCTCTTTTTTTGATAGATTTCAAATGATAATGGCTTGAATAAATAATACGATTTTGTATTTGCCACAATAAATACATTTAATAGTATTTAAAAGTAATTAAATCGAAGGTATTTGATGTTCCCTGTATATCCAGTATTCTGAACAATGTCCGTCCTCTGTCTGCAGGGATATGGCTCCTGAGGGCTCCACCCTGGAGGAGTCCAACAGGAATCTGGATGAAATAACAGACCTTGCTCTCCAGCTGCAGAGCCAGACTGGAATCAAGGTGCTGTGGGTCACCTGCAACCTCTTTGCCCACCAAAGGTCAGTATTTTATTGTGAAAACCCAACAGCTGTAAACTCACACATTAGAAATGCTAGAATCAGTTTGGATTATCTTCTGAATTTAGGAAAACCTTTATGATATACACGTTTTTATTGATGTGACAGGTACATGAACGGTGCAGCCACCAACCCCGACTGCCACGTTCTGGCCTACGCTGGCGCTCAGGTTAAGAAGGGGCTGGATATTGCCAAGAAGCTGGGTGCAGAAAATTTTGGTATGACTTGACAGTGTCTAAAACATCCATAAGCTCCTTCAGTGCTGCAATGCTGCAGTGCTGCTACCTCATTGTGTCATTGTCTCCTCAGTGTTTTGGGGAGGAAGAGAAGGTTTCATTTCCATCCATAATACCGATGTCTCTGCTGAATTGAAGCACATGGCCAACTTCTTCAAAATGGCTGTCCGTAAGTGTGTAAAAACATGAATATGGTATTTCTTAGAGTTTTGGTCAGGATGTGACACACTTAGTCACATCCTATGTATCCTAGTATCATGTCTTTATATTTGTCACCAGAGTACAAAGAGAAGATTGGCTTGAATTGTCAGTTTCTCATTGAACCCAAACCTAAGGAGCCCTGCAAACACCAGTATGACTATGGTAAGGTTTCTCAAAGTTTGACAAAACAAAAGTGCTTTTTAATCTCACAGTCTTAATAATACTTTGTATATGTCACTGTTTTCTTCTCTAGACGCTATGAGTGTCATAGGATTCCTCAAGCATTATGGTCTGGAGAGTCACTTTAAGTTGAACATTGAGCCCAACCACACCACCCTGGCAGGACACTCATACGAACATGATATTGTCATGGCCTCTGCGTGAGACATGTTAACTATTACCGGACATTTCACTTTGATATCTGAGTGAACACTGTTAACAAATGTGTCTGCGTCACATTTTTTTTTTTTACATTGTGTATCATCCCTGCTTTCTGGTGCACAGGTTTGGCATGCTGGGGTCAGTTGACTCAAACACTGGCTCTCCTGACCTCGGATGGGACACAGACCAGTTCCCCATGGACATTAGGAACACCACCTTGGTCATGAAGGTGAGCTCAATTCTTTTCATTTGTAACAAGAGTTCTTTGGCAGCGGTCTATGTGAAGATATAAAGATAAAAATCAGCTTTAGCTAACATTGCTAATATTAATTTTGATAAGACGAATCATTTGTTTAAAGCATCAACATATGAAGCTCCCCACAGTGAAACCAAAACATCTCCATCGCCCTCTGGTGGCAGGCGGCAGAATAGGTCATAAACCTTAATACCACCATGTTAGCAGTCAGGACATGGGCCAAACTAAACAATCAAAGTAGTTCTTATGACACTGATGTATGTTCAGTTTTTGTGGTAAGTTTGGTTTTAATTAGTAAGTTAATATTTTGTATAAAAAGGGGGTCAAAAACGTCATCAGTGTAAGATGCAGCGGCCATATATGTGATATGTTGGCTTCATTCTTGTAACCCACTAGCTGCTAAATGCAGGGCAGTGTGCATCAGCTAGCCGCTAACTTTGTCTTTTTGCTCTCTTTCTGCTGGACAGGTAGATTAACGTTACAGTTGGTTTATGGGAGCTTTTTTGCTGAAAACAGCTGCCTTCTGTGGAAGTAAACTAGGGTTAAAGAGGAGGTTGCTGGCTGGAAAACCTAAAAATAAAAATCACTAAAGAGACTATAAAGCTCCAACTGCAGAATGTATGATAACTCTTGGGGTGTTCACCACTAGAAGTAAACCCCTTTCACATTACTCATCGTCATTTGATCCATTGCTGATGTTAAAATATTTATTATAGCAGCTTTAATGTTCATATAAATGTCCATTGACTAATAAATAATCACACAGATGACCATATTTTGTAAAAATATATTTAAAGAGCGATTTAGAAATAAAAGCTTTGGCTCACCCTAGCAGCAGTACTGCATCAACTGTACAAGATAAGTTTAGATGAGAGTGGTGATATAGCAGCCTAGTTATTCATCAATGTCTAATCTTCTGCAGACCATCATTGAACAAGGTGGCCTGCAGCCAGGAGGCCTGAACTTTGATGCTAAGGTGCGCAGAGAGTCCACGGACCTGGAGGACCTGTTCATCGCTCACATCGGAGCCATGGACGCTTTTGCAAGGGGACTCCGAAATGCTGTCTGCATTATTGAGGACGGGCTCATCGCTGGCATGGTGAAGGTGTGTGTGTGCAGCTAACTGAAATTCACTGTTAAATAGACTTAAATCTTCAGGTACAGTACTGTTAGGTAACAGGCTATGTTATGTTTGGCCTCTGACTGGTTATGTGTGATTTTAAACAGGAGCGATACTCAAGCTTCAGTCATGGCATTGGACAGAAAGTGGAGGATGGGTCTGCCACCTTGGAGGAAATGGAGGTAATGGTGGAGTTTGCCACGTATATTGTATTTCACATTTCGACCTGTTTTAAAGCTATAACCAGCAGTGTTTGTGAACACTGCTCTTTGGCCAATCAGTGGGGTCTTTGCACCAGAGATTAGTGTTGTTTTTTTTTGCCAGTGTAATAAACGGAGGAGAAACTTACAGTAAGTGAGTGACGATGGTGTGTGTTTTGTTTCCTCAGACCTTCATCAAGCAGAACGGTGAGCCAAAAGTAACATCAGGGAAGCAAGAAAAGTACGAATCCATCTTTAATCACTACATATAATAAAAACATTGCTCTCCTGTTTCTGCATATGATAATCGTTGAAGGAGCTATTCTGTCTCAGTGCTGGTGTGAAAACACTTGAGCACATCAAACATAGTGTTAGAGAGGGTGAGCACTGTATTAATCCCACTGGGATTATGAATTGTACTTGTTTGCAGTTGATTTACTAACTAAAAGTACAAATAGCGACGTTGAACACTGCTAAATGTTCAAGTATCTGACAGACTGACAGACTTATTCAGTACAGACCTTTGTGTATCAGTAGGTATTTGTAGTGCTACTGACACGTCATCTGACATTTGATGTGACATGAAGCTATATTAATGTTAGCTGATGACTAACGCTCACTGTGTAATAAACACATTTTAACAATGAACTGATCATGTTTAATCCCACATTTTATACAATCCAGTCATTTATTCCACACCCATTTCCTGCATTCTATTTATTATTAACTTCAGATTAGGCTTCTGTATATGTATTGGTCTATTTGTAGTTATACCTAAAATAATACTTTTTGGTTTAACTGCTTGTTTAATTTGAAATATTTTCACAATTTAAAGTTATAAACGCGAGTAGGTTTTTAAATCTGGGTAAAAAAATAGTTAAATTCTTTTTCACCACCACTTGAAATTTGTATATCCAGGGATGTTTGACGTTTTTTTTGTTTGTTTTACCTATAGTTATTGAAAGGAGCTCTCACTCTGCAGCTTTTCTGGGTACCATGAATGTTTCCAGTGTGTTAGAACATGGACACTAGCACTACTTTGGCCTTGTTTCCTCTGTTACAGACACTGGAGATTTACTAGGTTTACAACACACAACGCTACAGCACTAATATGCCAAAATATACATTTGTTTTGTGTTTTGTATAAAGAGTGAGACTCATTCAGTAGCATTTGTACAACTTTAGTCGCCATGGTAACACAACGAGCTGTGATATTTAACAGGCACATTTAAGAACTGTCCTGGTTTACAGACAGAGTGATGTGTCCTGCCTAACGTGGACAATCTTTGCAGCAGGTCTCATTCACTGTGGTCTGTCAAAGAAACGAAACACGCACCTTTCCACTGACATCACATCATACTACCACCCTGCCGGCGGACTGTCCAATCAGCGGCCGGAGGGAGGCCCAGAGCCGGCACGGCTGTCCAATCAGCGCATAGCGTGAGCTCTGCTCACCGTCACGTCGCTCCTGATTGGAGGGTTGAGCTGTAGAGGAGTCGGGATGTGAAAACACCGAATCCGAAGTAGTCCGCGTTTCTCATTATCATAAAATATTCAGCAGCATCCCTCCGACAGTCTGTGGACAACTTATCATGAATTTATAAGGTTACATTGTGTTTTAGGGTGGCTGAGTTGTTTTTTTAGCACTTGAGAAAAAAAAGAAAGAGATTAAGAAGATACAAAAGATTATTGTTTCTAAATAATTTTTTTGTCAGCCTGAAAAAGTCTTTAGTTTCTCATTAGTGCTTTGACCATCACATTATTTTTTCTTTAATCCAAAAAGATGTGGACTTTCCTGGGAATAGCGAGCTTCACATACCTTTATAAAAAATCCGACACAGTCTTGACTTTGGCTCACAAAGAGCTGGTGATGGTCGCAGCCTTATTTCTAACAGTCGGGCTGCTGCTCTCATATATCCGGTATTTCCATGGGCAGAAGCTCAGGGTCTCTCAGGTGTTCCATTTGCCCCTGAGCCTCCTGTCCTTTTTACCTGTCATCAACCACTTTATCCCCCAAACGTCAACACAGAGGAGCGGGAAGGCAGAGGACTGTAAAAAGGTAAGACAATCCATCTGATACATGTTGGCTTTATTATGTGAACAAACAGACAAAGACAGATGCATGTTTTTTTTAGTCTTTTTTTTTAAATAGTTAAAAAGAAAATCAATTTATTTAAAAATCCATTTATTTAAATTCATTTATTATATATTTTATTTATTTATTGTAAGTTTAATCTCTGGAAAATTCTCAATTCTCTGTTATTCTCAAGTTTTATTGAAGCATTTAGAACTGAAAGTGTTTTAAGTGTTAATATATATATATATAAAATATGTATTTGTATAAGGACTGCAACTAAAATCAGAGGGACAGAAGTGGTTATTTGATGGCGTTTAAAAAAAGTACAGTTCCAGTGTTAGCCTTACAGTCCAGTTCAGTTTGGACTTTACACTTTATGTAATGAGACTCTCCACTCCTTTGTTTCCAGAGCCGGAGAGCAAGGAAAAGTGTGGATAAAGAGTCCTCGGCCTCACAGAGTGCCTCAGCCAGTAGTGGCCCCTCAGTGGCCCCGGAACCAGATGTGGTGATAGTTGGGGCCGGGGTCCTGGGCTCGGCCATGGCCGCCGTCCTAGCCCGGGATGGGAGGAGGGTGACGGTGGTGGAGAGGGACCTGAAGGAGCCTGACAGGATAGTGGGGGAGCTGCTGCAGCCTGGAGGGTTCAGAGCGCTCAGAGAGCTGGGACTGAAAGGTTAGTGATGGAGAGCTGCTCCTGTTAGTGACCTGCAAATACACCCTGACACATTATGAGGGACATCTGCCTCATAGTCAGGCCTTCTGCGTAATCGTTTTAGTTCCATGGTTAAAGGCCCTGAAAACCTATTTCCCTAACCAGCACCTTACTTAGAGGAATGAACACAAACACACACACACACGCTATCTAAATTAATTATTTTACATGAGAGGTTTTTGTATTTTTTTCTTTTGCTTGTGCTCCTCTCACTGATTTGAAGTGGGTGGGGCTCAGCTGGAAAAGGTGATGTTGCGTATATCAGTGCACCAATCAGAGTCAGCAATATTTGGATCTGGTGACAGTGCTGTCAATCAAATCTGACCCACACAGTCCTAATGAGGCATCAAATTAGTTTTTGAGTGTTAAACTCTTATAAATTACTCTTTGATTATTGCTTATTCAGTCCTAAATATTACAGTTTTATTATCAGTGGCTATCTACCAGTCATACTTTCAGTGTAGCTTTAGAAAAAAATTTATTGCTACAATACTACACTATAGTCCTGTTGTGTTTTGTAATATTTATGCAGCCTTTTTCAAAATGCACATCTTGCCAGGTGCAAATATATAACAAATATTAGAAATCATGACAGAAGATATTAGTCTTATTGAACCCTTTTTATATATATATACATACATACATACATATGTATATATGTTTTTAAAATGACTTTTAAGGGGGCAAACTCTGTTAATGTGTTAAATCACGTTGACTGATTTTCCTTATATTAGACAGGATTTAAGGGCGTTTAGAAGACTAAAAACATTAGGAACAGGCGTAGGCAGCAGTTCTGTAGCATACTTCTCCGTCATTTCAAACTAAATCTTCCAGTTCCAATAGTATCTTTTGATCCTGGTTCCATTTTGCCTGCATGCATCCAATCCCACATACAGTGTGTGAGCAGTAGCAGACTGAGAGAATAAATAATGAACGTGTGCTGTGAAACTCTAACCTGTTGCTCGTGTTTGGCCTCAGATTCGGTGGAGGGTCTTGATGCCCATCTGGTCAACGGCTATGTGATCCATGACATGGAGAGCAGCACAGAGGTGGAGATCCCTTACCCTCAGGCGGAGGACAGCATCCAGTGTGGACGCGCTTTCCATCACGGTCGATTTATCATGGGCCTGAGGAGAGCCGCGCTGGCCGAGCCAAAGTGAGCAGGGGTCCATATGCCAAGTGACCAGCTGGCTTCTTGGATGACATTGTTTCTGACAGCACTGAGAGTGAAAAGGAGCAGGAGTATCATTTAAAATCTGGTGGCTGTCTCCTACCTTGTATTCACGTGGCCATGCTCATGTATTAGGTTTAGTGGTCAAGTGATACAGGCTTTTCAGTGGCTGATGATGTGTAGATTTCACAGTATATTTAAGGGAGAGCGGTTCAACTGCATTATTCTATACATTATAACACATATATATATAATTCATTCTAGCCAGTAACAGTAACAAAGCTGCCTGAAGATGAGTCTGCAGACATTTTTCGGCCTAATAAAAATAAATATAATGGGCTGACTGATTAATCTGTCACTAATTAAGCTTTCCCATGAGCGCTTTTGATCTCAGAGCATTGCACAAATTGAGGTTATTTCCCTTCTTATATGTTCAAACACATTTGGTTATTCAGTAAATGGTTCAAACTGACCTTATAACACAAGTCTTAATGAGATGTAAAGTCACATTTTGTTTAAGCAGATTTTATTTTTTAGGTGCTTTCATTTCATATTTTCAGATTCTGTTTGCACAGTTATCAGTGGTTGGTTAAATGTAATATGTAATACTATATTTTAAGAGCAGTAAATGATGGTATATTGAAAAAAGGCCTCCAAAACAATCCAAATTGAGCATTTTGGCATTTCAAATAGACATTTATTCTGTTTCAGCAGTTTCTTTTCATATTGCCCATGCTTTAGAGGTGATGTTTCTAACTGTGTAATTGCGCCCCCCAGTGTCACATTCATAGAAGGGACGGTGACCAGTTTGCAGGAAGAGGATGGCTGTGTAACCGGAGTCCAGTACAAAGATAAAGAAACTGGAGACATCAAGGTGAGAAGAGGAAACTCTGCTGTACATCTAAAGCTTTAGATTGTACTTTATATTCTATCTAAAGCTTTATGATTACTGTGTGTCCCATAGGAAATCCACGCAGCGCTGACCGTGGTGGCTGATGGCTGTTTCTCCAAATTCAGAAAGAGTCTGGTCTCTGGGAAAGCCCAAACCTCCTCTCACTTTGTTGGATGCCTTATGAAGGTAGATACCACCCAGAGCCGTTGCTCCTGTCACACTGAACTGAACAGTCTGAAATGACTTTAGATTGTTCTAGAGCTGAAACACATCAATCAGTCAACTGACTCCAGCTACCAGGAACTTTATTTTCCTGTCCCCTGTGGACAAAAGCGGTAGTGATTAAGAATAACTACAGAAATAGCAAATCTTCTTGCTGATGGTCTGTTTTTGTAGCTCATATAGAGGCATCAGTATTAATGATAACTAATTGATAAATTGTTTCAATCATTTTTCAAGCAAAAATACCAAACAAAAAAACATTTCAGCTTCTGGTTTTGGACTGTTGGACAGAACAAATCATTTGAAGATGCCACTGTGGGCTCTGGGACATTTTAAACACAAAATGAGTTTGTTAATTGAGTTGCAACCCTACATTTTTAAATCTTTGATCATTTCGACTCTTAAATTGTTATTAGCTATTCAAGGATACAATGCATGTCTGTATTGTGTGTCTGTACACTCAGCTGGAATCAGGACAACAGTGGCTCATGCTTTATGTTATTATTATCTTCATATCTGAGTCATCACTGTGCTTCTCTCCAGGACTGTCCCCAGTTTAAAGCCAATCATGCTGAGCTGGTGCTGGCCAACCCGAGCCCGGTGTTAATCTACCAGATCTCCTCCTCTCACACCAGAGTACTCGTAGACATCAGGGGGGAGATGCCTCGCAACCTCTCCGAGTACATGGCTGAGAAGATATACCCACAGCTGCCAGGTAAAAGACAGATGAGATACATTTTGAAAATGTCTCTGAGGTTTCTTCTAATTATCATTAATGAAAAATGACTTTTGACCTGAGGAAAAGAGCCTGTGGCGTAATAAATGATCAAAGTTTGGAATATGTTTTTTTTTTTTTTTTTGAAAGTCAACTTTTTTATAAGGCATTGATGCCAGGCGTCATGGTAGGTAGGAATATATCCAGGCTGCTGCCTGTGCTGTTTTGTGTACGGCCAAGGAAGCAACAATAGAAGGATCTGACATTCATGGTGTGCTCTGCTATTCAGCTGAAATATCAAAGCCACAGTATCAAAGCACCAGCTCCGGTAACCTTGACAGAGGTCCAGCTGAAGCGGCGGAGTCAGTCACACTGATGCATTGATAAATGTACATTCAGACACTAAAAGAAAAGGCTTTCTCTGGTGCAGATGCCCAGCATGCACCTTTGGGTTTTCATCTGCAAAGCCAGTTGAGTGATGGACCGCCTGCACTCTCTCTTTCTCTCTTTCCTTCAGAGCATTTAAAGGAGCCTTTCATGGTGGCGCTGCAGAACGATCGGCTCAGGTCCATGCCTGCCAGCTTCCTCCCTCCCTCCCCTGTCAACAAGCCAGGTACTGAAGTGTTATTGACGGCCGTGTTGTTACAGATGGCCAGAGGGAATCTATTGAACTGATTTCAGCTTGTGTACAGTATGGTGCATGTCTTGGAAAGTAGTGTATCACTTTGGTCATTACTGTAAGATGAACAAAAGCTTTCCTGGTTTATTGACTAATTTGCAATTATTCTGCAGTGTTTTTAAAGCTGCAGTAGGTAACTTTTACAAAAAATAACTTTTTGCCATATTTTCTGAAACTTTTACTGTGTCCTGACAGTACATGAGACAGAAAAAAGAGAGAGAAAAATCAGCCTTCTCTGGCTCGTTCTGGTGCTACCAATGGTATTTGCAAGAATCCACCGGGCTGAACGAAAACAACCAATCAGAGCCAAGAAAGATATAGACACTTTGGGTTGGAGGTTTGATGATAGTTGATTGTTGAGTCT